GACATATTTTAAGATATACCAGTGCAAGTTGCTCTCAGTTAAAACAGCTCAAACATGCATTTTAGTAGATTTAAGCCTGGCCTGTGAATCTAGTGGATGTTGTATATGTATGAATAGAAAAGCTCAATGTCCAATTCCTTGGCAGGTCTGGTACGACAGGACTCTGGCCACTGGTGGTCCAGTTTCTTCTTTGGGAAGCAGAATCAAATGGGGACACCCAATGGACTTGAATCCCAGCAGAAGTGAGTTTAAGGACAGTTTGATGTGTTTGGCTTGACTCAGCTCCTGAGTCCTGGTTTTCATGCAAGGTTTTCTCCATTTTGATTGGCAGGACTGGCACCTACACTGTCACAAACGGTCAGGTGACCTGCGTTGCCCGGGAGATTGTGATGAAGAGACAAATGAGTGAGAGCAGTGACTCCGGGAAGGAGCCTGGATCCCCCCTCCCCTCATAAACCACCCCGACCCAATTCCACACCCTTCACCCCTCATCCAGGAGTCACCGCACGCAGAAGCAGGCGACGGAGGCTCCATTTTTTTTTTTTTAGTAAAAACTGGCTGCTTTTTATGTCATATAGTGCTTTTTTTTTTTTAATCTATGACCAAATCATTGCAAATATATTGTATTGCTATAAATAAATGACTAACTGCAGCCCAAAGTATGGTGTGAGTATGTGTTTCTATTCCTCCTGCATTCTGTCATTCCATAGTATATTAAAATGATCATATCCAGTTCCATGAGCATGGATTATGGTGAATCACTATTAGGGCTATCAATGTACTTTCAAACAGGGATTATGACCAAACAGTCTCTTTTCACTGACTCTGCTATTCTACAGTGAATGAGCAGCTAATCAACAGCCTGTGCGCAAGGTGTTTGGAATTAAGTGGGCTTTGGTGTGATTAAAACATGTGTACTGAGACCGGACACACTAATACAGTTTATATAACATTACACCTGCTGCCATTGGATGCATCTATTGTATATGTGGCAACAAGAAACGGAAGCCTGTTCTTCCATCTGGCAGAATTAACTTTTAGAAACCAGCTAAATAAAATAATAGCTGCAGCATGGCCATCTGCCCAACACGAAAGTGTTAATGGCAAATAAAAAGAGGGTATTTTTGCACACCTAATGCTCCCCCCCCCCCCCCCCCCCCCCCCCCATAATAATAATAATGTGCATAGTTTTAAAAACAGAGTATTGGTCCAAATAAAAATGTTGTTTTTAGTAACCATGACCTTCATATTATTTAAACAATTCTCTAAAGAATTTTGAGGTCAGTTCTAAATTATAACATTATTTACCAGCTGTATGTATGTACTGTATGTTGAAGCCTCTGTATTAGGCTACTTCTGAAGACTGAATTTGACCACAAAGTATGACCACACTGTAAGAAACTATTTTCATGATTTATTATTACAACATTTTTTCTTTTGTCAAAACAACTTGGATAATTTGTGTGGTGCACATAACTTAATGTTTTGAGTTTCTGTTGATTTAACCAATATCCTTCAATGTATTAACTCAAATTTAAAATTTCAATTACCGGTATCTCAAAATTTTAATGCAACCAGGTAACTTTTTAAGTTGAACCAACAATAAAATGTTTACAGTGCAGCAGGCCAGCTAAAGTGCCACTTTGTCAAATATTCTGGCAAGGTTTTAAAGTTATGAAAAAACATTATTCCAGTAACATTAACTATTCGTTCAAAGTTATCTGGTCTTTTCTCAAAACGTTAGCACAAAAACATTATTTAGACCTATAGCCTACATTGTTAATGAAACATTTTTCTGAAACGTTATAGTTGGATGTTGTTCATAATTGTTTAGAGTGTTTGCAAAATGATAAAATGGGATGTTCCCTTAACGTTCGTGTAACCAATAAAAAAGACCTAGAGCATTAAACTCCTCGATGTTTTGATATCATATTGAGAACATCTAGAAATATTGTTTTCAAACTTGAACGGAATGTTCCTATTTGGGTCAGTGTTTTAATGTTCCCATATGGCCTTCACCTATAATAATCTTTTAGGGCAGTAGACTTTCCTCTCTGATCCCACAGTTGTTTCTAAACAGAGACGAGAGCTAAAAACAGCACAGTCTCTTTATGTCGTTATACGGACCCCGGAATCTCCCAGCGAGCTTCACAAACGCTCCTAGCTCGCGCGTCAAGGTTTCTCTGTACAAAGGTGAACACATGAACACAGACACGTTTCTGTTCAGATACGTTCTTAGAAGTGTGTCAACTTTGATTCGCTATTCACAGAGTGTTTGGAACCAGTAAAACAGGAACTGTTCCATTTTGCACGTTTAGAATTCCCACATATCATTCTGTTTATTATTCCAGCCTGTTTTTTATTATTATTATTAACATTTCTGTTTATTTCTATAGAAGTGTTTCTAATAACAGGATATTACGTTTGTCCTCTATTATTTTATGCATGTTTGCTTACCAGTTACCACCCTTACATTCATGAATTAACGCAAGTTTCACGTGTGGGCAAAATATCACAATGTTTGCCTTTTAAACAACCTATCTTTATTAAGGGAGCTCACCCAAAAATCTGTCATCAGTTACTCACCCAAGGTTGTTCCAAACCTGTATAGAATTATTTGTTCTGTTGAAAACACAAAGGAAGATATTTTGAAGAATGTGGGAAACTGAACAGTTCCGGGGCACCATTGACTTCCATAGTATTTTTTTCCCTATGAAGTCAATAGCATTACAAACTTTCTTCAATATCTTCCTTTGTGTTCAGCAGAACAAAGAAATGTATACAGTTTTGGAACAACTTTCATTTGTGGGTGAACTTTTGGGAGCCTATTTTTGCTACTCATATTGGGCTAAACTCAGCAGAAACTTGTTAAAATGTAGCTACTATAAACCTACTTAACAGTCTTTTGCAATAGACTCATTTTACTTAGCAAAGTAAAATAAATGGCACAATACTCACCTGTTGTTTGAAAAAATAAGTCTCTTAATTGTGCTTGATGCACGCTCCACAGGCAGACAGGCAACCAAACTGTGCTTTCTGTTGTGACACTGCTTTGTGAAATAGGGCTGCAATGGTATTTCAACACTGAGATGAGATGGAAACTGAAAAGTAGGTGAATTACTTAAAAGAAAAAAGACAGAAAGAGATTGTGAAATAGCGTGAAAGTATACAAGGCCTAACAATCTTTAACATATTTTTCTCTTTTCTAATTTGTAGCCCTGCCACTGAAATTTGTATTATTGGGTGTCTGATTGCAGAGTATGAGAGGTGTCCAAAAATCTTCAGGGATGCCAGTCATCATGCTGACGTGACCTTCCTGAAGATCCTGTCGTTTTTCCGTTTAGTGTGGCCAGGCAAGTCTAGAGTGTTCTCGATTCTATTCCTGCCCACCACGCACCCACAACATGAACACGTTGTGGCAACACTCGTGTTACTGAGTTTTAGCAGTTGCAACAATCAGCAGGGTGTGTTGCATCTGCAGTGGGGTGTGTGTGTGTGTATAAATAATCCATACCCATTTCTAATCCATAAATGTCGACACAATCAACATTTTAATACATTTTTTTCATGAAAAGAACAACCCTCATTATATCCAGTTATATTTAATTAATAATGAACTACTTGTGAACAGACAACACTGGGCCAACTAAAACTGCAGTGGAAAGTTTTCAGAGATTGTGAAATGACCTGCGTACACAGAAACTGACCTGACTCGTTCTGTTCCAGATGTCGTGATTATCTATTTTAGAGCTTGTCAGCAGCAGAGAGATTTAAATGGGTAATTTTATGAGAAATCAAATCTTCCTTGATTTCATTGTACCATGAAAAAATACTGTAACTTTCAAAACTCAAAACTCCCTCACTGTCACCAGTGTTGGGGGAAAATTACTTTTAAAAGTAATGCGTTACGTCATTTTTGTTTTGTTAATTGGCTGTGCTTGTGTAATGATAACCATCCGAGGGCACTCTAACCCGGACATTCACCACACATCCACAAACTACATTTCCCATAATCCTTTGGCCAGACTAATCAGCCATGATCACATTCACCTGTATGTCATTACCTTGTTTAGCTCACCCAATATAAGTCTGGTTTTCACATTCATTCCCTGCGAAGTCTTGTTTAGTGTTTCTACTGCAATTCTAAGCGTGTTTGTATCCTGTTTCTCCCGTGTCCTGGTTCTCTTGATTCTCTGCCTGTTCCCTCGGGTTTCCCTTTTTGGACTGATTACCTGGTGTTTTTACATTTATGCATTTGGCAGACGCTTTTATCCAAAGCGACTTACATTGCATTTCAAGGTACACATTTACATTCTTATCAGTTCTTGCTTTCCCTGGAAATCGAACCCATGACCTTGGCGTTGCAAGCACCAACGCTCTACTGTTTGAGCTACAGGAAAGTTCTCACTATTAACTATGACTTTTGCCTCAGTATACTCTTAATTAATGCTTATTATTAGTTAGTAAGGTAGTTGTTAAGTGTAGGTATTGGGTAGGATTCAGGGATGTATAAGTGTGCTTTATAAGTACTAATACACATCCAATATCCTGGTAATATGCAGCAACTAGTTAATAGTGAGAATTGGACCCTAAATTAAAGTGTTACCAAAAGTTCTATTTTTGACAAATGTAAAGGCCCTTTTAAACCAAAAGTGAAATGAATAAGCCTCAGGCTGAAGGAAATGCAAATTCACATGTGTACAGTAGAGGGTGCAGGTCAAACAAACCTTCAACCTTTGCTGCCATTCTGGATTGGAGAAGAATAAGATGCAGGTGAAGAAAGTTCAACACTCTTACGTGATGTTTATCTAAAGTAAATTTCGCTAATGTCATTTTGACATTGGTTAATAAAGTGAGATTAAATACATAAAGTTTATTTGTATTATTTACCTGTATAATTATTGCAGGTTTGTGTAATATTCTGAGTTTATAATATTGTGTAATATTCTGAGACTTTCTGGTAAAATAAAGGTAAAATATATATATATATATATATTCAGAGTTTGCATTTCACTGTTTTTATTTTTGAGGAATACTGAATCTGTTTTTGTGCAAGTGAGACGAGTAAATGCATGCTCACATTTAGTCTACAACTACCAATAACCATCATGTTTACACAGCACACACAACTCCTCTGCACTTTATCTCAACATGGGGACAGGAGACGTGTCATTCAATACAAGGGAAAACAAAGTAACTTGCGTTACTTATTTGAAAAAGTAACTGTAATCTGATTACATAACTCGCGTCACTTGTAATGCCTCTATGTAGATTTGAGAATAAGTTTGATTAAATTAAATGTGAATAATTCCTCGTGAAATTTGAAAATAAAGTAAAAGTGCATGAATACTGTAAAAAAAGGCAAAGTAATGGGTGAAAAGATGTTTAGAAATCTTGAGTGATGCATGAAAATGAATGCTGGCACAGTCCCGCTCGTTTGCCTTTGCATGACACTGTTAACTGACGCCTCCTGCTGGATCTGATGTGTCATGGCTGCTCTCAGTGTTCCACAAGTTCTCCAGGATCTTTTTAAGTTCACTGAAATCTGGTCTTTCATCAGCTGAGTCTCTCCAACACATCAGCATTATGTCATAGATGTGCGATGGGCACTTATTGGGCGCAGGCATTCTGTACCCCGAGGAGATCATATTGTATGCCTCTTGATTTGAGAAAGCTGTAAAAATATACAAAGAATAAAGGTGAACTCTAAGCCTTGCTCAGATCTACATGAACAAGAAGATACATAAGTGGTGTATTTACCTGGATATGGGACTCCACCATAGGAGAAGATTTCATATAGGAGGACTCCAAATGACCAAACATCAGATTTGTTGGAGAACCTTCCATGGCTGATGGCTTCAGGAGCACACCACTTATATGGTATCTTTTGATCAACGGACGAGTAAATTGGCTCCTGTGAAACAAAAGCAACGACATATTTTAAAAGCAAACTTTAAGAATAAATATTTAACAGATGTTTTTGAATAACTGGTAGGTAATCCTCACCTTTATGATTCGAGCTAGGCCAAAGTCGGCCACTTTACAGATGTTGTTTGCTCCAACTAGAACATTTCGGGCTGCCAGGTCTCTGTGGATGCTGTTCTGCTCCTCAAGGTACGCCATCCCATCAGCCACCTGGCTCGCCATTTCTATTAGTGTCAGGGCTTCCAGGTCCCGCCCCTCCTGACCTATGAAGGGAAAATTGAAGGAATCATGTCTGTCTGCTTCAGGACTTTGTACAAGACTCACTCTCAGGAAAGGTGTGTATATATAAGTGTGCAGTGTCGAGGAAAGTTTACTTTTGAAATATAATGCGTTACAATATTGTGTTACTCGGCCAAAAAAGTAACTAAATGCGTTACTTGGTTACTTTTTATGAAAGGTAATGTTTTGCGTTACTTTTTCTCACCTGGGCTGGGCTTGCTTGTTTGTTTTTTAATAACAAAAAAAGTTATATTTTTTGGCAAATGTAAAGTCCCTTTCACACAAGAAGTGACATGAAGAAAAAGCCCTGAGGTAAATGCAAATTTACGCCTGTACAGTAGAGGGCAAAGCTCAAACAACCATTCTGCGTCACAGAAGAATAGGACGCAGGAGAAGAAAGTTCAACACTCTTACTTGAGCAATAAAAACAAAAAAAATGAAACACAAAAAGTGATGTTTAACTAAAGTCATTTTTACTATTAGTGTGGTTGAGTCGGATCATCAAAGGCCAGCAGCAAAGACATTGGTTAATAAAGTGAGATTAAATACATAAAGAATATTTATGTAATTTGACAATTTTAATTATTGCAGGTTTGCATAATATTCTAAGTTTGCATTTGACTTATTTTTCATTTTTATTCATGTTGAGGAATATTGAATGTTTTTGTGCAAGTGAGACGAGTAAATGCATGCTAACATTTAGTCTAGAACTACAATAACCATCATGTTTACACAGCACACACAACTCCTCTGCACTTATGATTTATCTCAACATGGGGACAGGAGACGTGTCAGTCAATACATGAGAAAAGAAAGTTATTTGAGTTACTTATTTTAAAATTGTAAATTTAAAAGTATTGCATTAATAAGTAATCTGATCACGTAACTTGCGTTTCTTGTAATGCGTCAACACTGCGAGAGTGTCTGTGTGTATGTGTATATGCATATATATATATATATATATATATATATATATATATACAGGTCCTTCTAAAAAAATTAGCATATTGTGATAAAGTTCATTATTTTCCATAATGTAATGATAAAAATTAAACTTTCATATATTTTAGATTCATTGCACACCAACTGAAATATTTCAGGTCTTTTATTGTTTTAATACTGATGATTTTGGCATACAGCTCATGAAAACCCCAAATCCCTGTCTCAAAAAATTAGCATATCATGAAAAGGGTCTCTAAACGAGCTATTAACCTAATCATCTGAATCAACTAATTAACTCTAAACACCTGCAAAAGATTCCTGAGGCTTTTAAAAACTCCCAGCCTGTTTCATTACTCAAAACCGCAATCATGGGTAAGACTGCCGACCTGACTGCTGTCCAGAAGGCCATCATTGACACCCTCAAGCAAGAGGGTAAGACAGAAAGAAATTTCTGAACAAATAGACTGTTCCCAGAGTGCTGTATCAAGGCACCTCAGTGGGAAGTCTGTGGGAAGGAAAAAGTGTGTCAAAAAACGCTGCACAACGAGAAGAGGTGACCAGACCCTGAGGAAGATTGTGGAGAAGGACCGATTCCAGACCTTGGGGGACCTGCGGAAGCAGTGGACTGAGTCTGGAGTAGAAACATCCAGAGCCACCGTGCACAGGCGTGTGCAGGAAATGGGCTACAGGTGCCGCATTCCCCAGGTCAAGCCACTTTTGAACCAGAAACAGCGGCAGAAGCGCCTGACCTGGGCTACAGAGAACCAGCACTGGACTGTTGCTCAGTTTTGCATGTCATTCGGAAATCAAGGTGCCAGAGTCTGGAGGAAGACTGGTGAGAAGGAAATGCCAAAATGCCTGAAGTCCAGTGTCAAGTACCCACAGTCAGTTATGGTCTGGGGTGCCATGTCAGCTGCTGGTGTTGGTCCACTGTGTTTTATCAAGGGCAGGGTCAATGCAGCTAGCTATCAGGAGATTTTGGAGCACTTCATGTTTCCATCTGCTGAAAAGGTTTATGGAGATGAAGATTTCATTTTTCAGCACGACCTGGCACCTGCTCACAGTGCCAAAACCACTGGTAAATGGTTTACTGACCATGGTATTACTGTGCTCAATTGGCCTGCCAACTCTCCTGACCTGAACCCCATAGAGAATCTGTGGGATATTGTGAAGAGAAAGTTGACAGACGCAATACCCAACACTCTGGATGAGCTTAAGGCCGCTATCGAAGCATCCTGGGCCTCCATAACACCTCAGCAGTGCCACAGGCTGATTGCCTCCATGCCACGCCGCATTGAAGCAGTCATTTCTGCAAAAGGATTCCCGACCAAGTATTGAGTGCATAACTGAACATAATTATTTGAAGGTTGACTTTTTTTTTTTGTATGAAATATGAAAATTTTTTGAGACAGGGATTTTGGGTTTTCATGAGCTGTATGCCAAAATCATCAGTATTAAAACAATAAAAGACCTGAAATATTTCAGTTGGTGTGCAATGAATCTAAAATATATGAAAGTTACATTTTTATCATTACATTATGGAAAATAATGAACTTTATCACAATATGCTATTTTTTTGAGAAGGACCTGTATATATATACTGGTATGTGTGCATGTGTGTGTTTGTGATGAGCTTTATCATTTTAAGTTGTGACGAGCCGTTTGTGAAGAAACAAGATGGACTCTTCACATTTTCTGTGTCATCTATGTCATATTTGACATAGATGACAGCAAATATAATTTTTGTATTTCTGTTTGATCCAATAGCAAAAGAAAAAAATCTGTAACCGCGTTTCCAAAACATTCCAAAAGAAGGAAAAAAAGATAGATATTGATTTCAACAGTCAGAAGAGAGAAAGATGTGAAATCATCATCATTCCCTCAGCCGTTCACATTTGGGTAATATAATACAAAAGTTGACACAGTTGATAACTGTGGAAACGCGTCATCACAGTCTGTCAAAAGGCTCCATTATAAGCAAAAACTAAATATAATAATTTGGATTTATAGTCTTTTATGTTATTTTTCATTTAATTGTAATCTGCACCTTTAAAATGACTTGCATTTTATTAACGATAATTCAATTTCAACAATACATGTCACGTGACTGATGATTACTGTAGCCGTCTCAGTTTAACCGGCAGCACGGAGCGCGAGCAGCCAATCATCTCTTCCTCTTTATGAACGAGTTATCATTTTTGGTTTGAAAAGGTGTTTCGCTTTTACTTTTTCATTCAATTCATGAACCTCCAAATGTGTTTCTAGTCAAAGCGACTCCAAATGATGGAGCCGGTCACATGTAATCAACATTGTTGACAAATTACAGTACAAATTGAAAGTTGATGTCTAAAAAGTTTCAGAATAACAGCTGACATATGAGAGTGAAAGAGGTTTTGACCTCGGAGGAAACTGAGGAGGTTGCCTTTTTCCATAAGCTCAGTTATGATGTAGAAAGGGATGGAGCTTGTGCAGATGGCAAAGAGTGTGATGAGATGTCTGTGTCTGAGCTTTTTTAATATTTGAGTCTCCAACAGGAAATCCCTGTGGTTGAGAGACTCTAGAGGAGAAGGAGAAACAGAGCACATCAGAAAATAAACATCAGTATGGAGCAATATAACATTTATGAATACATCTGTCAAAATATGGAATTTACTCTTCCATGGGAATTTTTTAATAGGCTGAAAGATATGAGCTTAAACAGAGTTTTAAAACTGTTCTTTGAGAGTTCACGGTGTTGTGCTAACTCTATTGGCTAAAGTTTATGAGGGCAGTAGCCTGGCCTCATATTCCTCCAGCTCTGACAGTCAAGAAACACTGCATTTCTCTCATTCACGCATATCAGGAAGATAAAAAAACAACGCAAATAGGCAAAGAGGAAGTAGTCCATTCTAGTAATCCCCCAGACATTTTCCCTCATTTAGCCTTGATTTTTTTTTTTTACTGTACATGCACCAACCTTACCATTTCTTTTGAGGATTTTGATGGCAACATTGACCATGCCTTTCCATTTTCCACGGTAAACATCAGCAAAGTATCCCGTACCGAGCTCCTCTTCCAGTGTAAACTCTTCCTTAGGTAACTCCCAATCATCTACTGTTTGATGGGAAAGATCCTGTTGTTTTGGTTCTGGCTGTTAGCAAAACAGAGAGAAACTCTGTGAGGAAAAGTACACAGTAATACAGACAAATACGTTTTGTTACATGTACATATTGTATATTCAGTGTGTGGTGATCTGCTATCAATCTGATACAGGAATCACTGTATATAGGCAGAATATAAATGTAAATGTAATATAACTAGTTATTTCATCTAAAATGAACTGACAAAAGCGTACTTATTTCAAAGGACAATTTGCCTCAAATTAGTATTTGTTAATTGACTGAAATCATGTCTTCCCATAGACAGTCTGTTTCCTGATGTACAGGTGTTTTGTTTTGTGTGGTAGGTCTCTTACTATGTTAGTTCCTCTTAAATTAAATATACACGTTTTAAACGTCACAATGAAAAGTACATATCAGACACACCCACTTTTCACTTGCTTAACAAACCCTCATGCCATTCCAAATCTGGAAACTGGAGCTTTCAAGTCTCAAAAATGCATGGTATTGTGAAAGAATCATTCAAACTAGTTTTGTGAACCAGATCAAATGATTCATTGAAAAGAGCAGACTCAAAAGAGGGATTCGGTCATGAATCGGATGCAGCTGCTTGTCCATGAATATGCCAAAGAGAGCTAGTACAGCTGTGGATTTCCTGATTCCAGACTTTTATTGAATAACCTAAATGTCCTCACAAAAATCTATCATATGACTTTAGAAGACTTGGAATTTTTTATTATACTTTGTGTCATTTTGAAACTGTCAGGAGCCACGGCCACAGTTATTATTCAAAAATTCAATTTTGGAGAATACCGAAGAAAGAAAGTCATACAGATATGAAATGACATGAGTAAATAATGAAAGAATTATTACAATAATGACTTTCTGCATTTTACTTTTCTTTTTTGATTATTTTCCTCACCCGTGCGCAGGGACGTGTGAGACAGTTACCAGACCTCAGGGAATTGCTCCTGTAGTGCTCCACCAGCATCTCCAGGCTCTGAAACATTTCATTCGGATCCAAATAGAAACTTCCATTCGGATTCTGATGGATCTTAATGTGTTTCACTTCCCTGTCACTGATTACCACTGGCAGAATGACACAGAGAGAAAGGATGCAGACAGTAGAGAAGCACTGTTTAGATGTTGTCTGATCAAACGCACCTGGCATGAATTAACCAAATAGGCGAGAAGAACACAAAGAGAAATGCTTGCACTTTTAGCAAGTCTATATATGACTGGATTGGCTACATTTCTATTGTAACAAAAAGAAGTGACTCTTTGAAGATTATTTTACTACACTATAACAATGACATTAGTTCTGCCGTTACTTGTTTAGAGTAGACTAATAGCGTAGGCAGAACCTGGTGTAAAATGCAGTTTGAGTTTAAAATCAAGTTCAATACAGACAACAATCACTCTGACATACCTGATAATACACACCCAATGTGATCTTTTTCACTGTGTCGCACCAGGAAAGAACCTACTCCATTCCCAGGAGCCATAAGCAAATTCTGGGTCTCAAAACGGTTCAGTGTCCCAAAATACCAACTAAAGAAGAGCACAGTTTCAAATCACATGTATGCATCAGAGTTTGGGACTGCATTTGTCTTGGATGCATGATACGACAATACATACGACAAGTCTGTTTCCTATGGAAGCTTTTCCACCACGGAATAATAATAAAAATAAAAATAAATTGTCTTACAATTTTGAGGTTTTTTTTTCTTGTAATTGTGATTTTATAACTCGCAAATGCCAGTTTAGGCCTACCTCACAATTCTGAGAACAAGTCATAGGCCCAATTGTGAGCAATTCTGACTTTTTTCTCTGATTTTATATCTCGCAAATCTGACCCTTTTTCCCCTCACGATTTCGAGGTTAGACGTAAAATCAGAATAAACTCGGAATTGCAATAGGCTAAAGAAAGTCTGAAGTGTGAGATAAAAAGTGGCGAAAAAAGTCCATAGTTTCCTCTCAACAGTGTGAGAGTGAGAGAAAGAGTAAAGGAGTTCAGCTCAAACTGAGTGATTACACAGCAAGATCTTTTGCATCCGTTCCTCTCGACGTTGCTTGGCGAGTTTGTCTTAATTTTCATTCACAGTGGCTCAGGAGAAATGTAAGATTTTGGATATTTTCGTTAGAAATATAGGCCTATGTCAATCAATATTTATTTACAAATTAATCATTTATGTTTTGTTTTTTCAATATAACAATGATAATACTAATTAGTATTATTTCATAATTGATCATATTATTATTAATTTAGCCCTATATTGTCATTCGTAACGAATGAAGTTTTCACATTTCACTGGTCTTAGAGTTCTGGACTCTTTCTATTTTCTGTATAGAGATTCTACTTACGGTTGCTCTTTCACAGTTTGCCTTCTCGCCAGGTAATTTTGAGGAACGACGCCCTTGGCTGTCACCTTTCCGTTTCCGTCCAGTTTAAAGGCTGTCCACCAGTCACCCTCGCGCTTGTAAATTCGGAACTGTTCTCCGTCCTGGAAGGACAGTTCCTCGTCTGCGCGGGCATGGAAGGGCCATAGCGCCGTATATATCTCACCATCGGGCTCAGACGGAATTTGTGTCTGAAGTTCGCCAGTATTTGCACATGTTTCAACTTCAGGCTTTGACGAGTTGAAAAGTCTTTCCCTAAGCGCCTCCAAACGTGGGCACGAACAACACCCGTTCTTGAACATTTCATTTGAATGTGAATCTATGACTGTAACAGGTCGGACAGATGAGACGAGGAAGCTGGATGGATCCTCCTTCGGCAAGTGTCTACACGAGTGTGAGAGCTGGGAGGAGGCGCACAGACAGGTTGTGTCTCACAACAACAGCTGCCAAACTGAACAGCATTTCTGACAGCGTCTGTACACAAGAATGCTGTTTAGGTGTAGCACAATGAGTTTTGAGACACGACCAGTCAGGTACGAAACTCCTCAGGGCTACACATACACACTGCTTAAATATGTTGTTATAACAGTTTAAATATAGTGCAGTAGCCTATAAAATATAGTTGAGCAATAGGGGAGCGCGGGGCACAACGTAACGCGGGGCTAGTTGTAACTTGTAACACACTTGTTTTAAATACTTCCACACATGCCAGCATGACGAAACTTGGTGTATTTACTAGTTCCCATTTCAACACTATAGAGAGAAAAAATTGCGCCAAAATTCTGAAATCTTTGTAAGATATCACTGAACATTTATTTAACCATAGCAAAATAGGCTACATTTCTTACTTAAGTTAATTTTTCATCTCTATTTTTTTGTGTTTATTTAAAATTAGACAAATCTGATATTATTTTAATCTCCAATCTGTTGTTTAACAGTTGATATAGTTTTTTAATGCTTCGCTAACTAGCAGAAGACACTAGCAGTGTTTAAACTACTCGGTTACTATCGTAACCTCAGTTCCCTGAGATAGGGAACGAGTATTGCGTAGCTATACGCAGTGGGGAAACTCCCTTTCCTCGATTTACTGAAGCTTATATGTAAAACGCATTTGCAGCTGCACAGCCAGCCCCCTGTGCGTCTGACCCGCTCATAGGCTGTGCTGCAGCAACTGCACATCCAATGGCGCGGGCGACTCTGACGCACAACCAATAAGCTAGCCCAACGTCAGAGCCCGTCGAGGGGGCGTGCCCCGCCTATATAGACCCCCGAATTCGCCATTATAGCAGGTTATACGACTGAAGCGACAACTTCACCAGTTACTAAAGTGCGGCCGGCTACGCAATACTCGTTCCCTATCTCAGGGAACTGAGGTTACGATAGTAACCGAGTAGTTCCCTTTCGAACGGTCACTTCGTATTGCGTAGCTATACGCAGTGGGGACACCATGCAAAACGCCGCACCCTGAGTAACTGGTTGTCCTGCCACTCAGGAACCCAAAAAACATATGCATATACATGTATATATAACAGACCAGACACAGTCGGGTCTGCCTAATATACATAATAAGTCAGTCACCACTAACAGAATATACTAACAAACCAGACACCGTCGGGATTATTAGTATACTTTATTACCGGCCGAAGCGGGTTTATATAATATGTATGTGATTATGCACAGTAATTTTTGTAGACAAGACCAGCCACTGTCAGGTCTCAATCATACCGAAAGCACCTTCGCCTGCAGGGAAGGTACCTCCATATTATAGAATTTCATAAATGTGGAAGGCGAGGACCAGCCGGCCGCATCACAAATATCTTGAATGGGAAAACCAGAAGACCAAGCCCACGACGAGGCCATACCTCTGGTCGAATGGGCCTTGACACCTATGGGGCAAACCTGACCCACTGCGGTGTAGGCCAAAGAGATGGCATCCACTATCCATCTAGACAGTCTTTGCTTAGTGACTGGATCACCCTTAGATCGGCCCCCAAAGCAGACAAACAGCTGTTCTGATTGTCTAAAAGACGCAGAACGCTCCAAATAGATTCTCAACGCCCTGACAGGGCAGAGAAGATTAACCTCCCCATCCTCAGCAGAAGGGGGAAGGGCTAATAGCGTAATAACTTGTGCTCTAAACAGCGTTGAGAGCACCTTGGGCACATAACCAAGCCTGGGTTTGAGAATGACTCTGGAGTCATCCAATCCAAACTCCAAACATGCAGGACTCACTGAGAGGGCCTGCAAATCTCCCACTCGCTTGATAGATGCCAATGCCAACAGGAGAGCAGTCTTTAGCGAAAGTGGTTTTAGATCAACCGACTGGAGCGGCTCAAAAGGTGGACCCCTCAGGGCCCTAAGGACCGTGGAGAGGTCCCAAGGCGGCACCGAAGGGGGCCTGGAGGGGTTAATCCTCCTAGCACCCTTCAGAAACTTTACCACCAGGTCATTCCTTCCCAGTGATTGGCCAGCCACCAGAGCATGGTGCGCTGCGATGGCTGCCACATACACTTTGAGCGTGGACGGGGTGCGGCCCGCGTCCAGTAGCTCCTGCAGGAAGGCGAGCACCACTGAAACCTCACATGACTCTGGGTCAATACGATTTTTCGAGCACCAGCTGGAAAAACCCGACCACTTTAAAGCATAAAGGCGCCGAGTAGACGGGGCCCTTGCCTCAGAGATAGTGCTTAAGACCCTGTCAGGCAGGTCCCCGGATACCCGTTTAGGGGCCACACATGGAGGGCCCATAAGTCGGGTCGGGGATGCCACATCGTTCCGTTGGCCTGTGTGAGGAGATCCTTCCTCATCGGAATAGGCCAGGGGGTCGTGTCCGACAACTGAACCAGTTCCGGAAACCATGGTCTGGATTTCCAGAGAGGAGCCACCAGAAGGACTGGGCATCCGCTCTCCCTGACCCGCTCGATAACCTGTGGGATCATCGAGACGGGGGGAAACGCGTAAAGGGGGCGGCTGGGCCAGAGATGAGCCAGCGCATCCCTGTTTTTCGAGAAGAACACCCTGCAGTGGGTGTTGGCTCTCGAGGCGAAAAGGTCTACTTCGGCCTCGCCGAACCTCTCCCATATTAGTCTGACCGTCTGAGGGTTCAGGGACCACTCGCCTAGGGGAGTGTTGCCCCTTGAGAGCATATCCGCGCCCACATTCTGGACGCCCGGGACATGCGCTGCTCTCAGAGAGCTCAGATTGGCTTGTGCCCACATGAGGAGGTCCCTCGCCATCACATACAGGATGCCTGACCTGATGCCACCCTGGCGATTTATGTAGGCCACCACAGACATGTTGTCTGTACGGATCAAGACGTGGTGACCCCTGAGGTTTGACAGAAAAGCTTTTAGGGCCAAACCAACCGCTTTCATTTCCAGACAGTTGATATGTAAGCTCTGCTCCGTGCTCGACCAGAGGCCGGAGGCAGGCTTGCCCTCGTGCAGCGCTCCCCAACCCATGTTGGATGCGTCTGTAAAAACCACTTTCCTCCTGGAAACTATCCCCATGGTCACCCCCTTGCAGTACCAGTCCTGAGCCCGCCAGGGAACCAGTGTTCTCAAACACCCTTGATTCACCATAATGCGCAGGCTGCCTGACTGCCATGCATGGGTTGGCACACGGCGTTTCAGCCAGTGCTGCAGCGGGCGCATGTGCAGTAATCCCAAGTGGAGTACTGATGATGCAGCTGCCATTAGACCAAGCAGTCTCTGAAACCTCTTCAGAGGCGCGCGCTTGCGCGCCCTGAATGCGGCTACCAGTGTCTGTACCGAGAGCGCGCGCTCTTGAGTGAGCCGCGCTTTCATTGTCACCGAGTCCAAAACCGTGCCCAGAAAGACCACAGTCTGGCTGGGATTCAGTTCGCTTTTGGCAACATTGATTGTGAGACCCAAGCATTTTAAATGACTGAGAATCAAATCCCTGTGCACTATTAGTTCGTCTCTCGACTGCGCTAGCACCAGCCAGTCGTCGAGATAATTCAGCACACGCACTCCCTGGCATTTCAGCGGGGAGAGCGCCGCATCCATACATTTCGTGAATGTACGGGGTGCCAGAGCCAGACCGAACGGCAGAACGGTGTATTGATATGCCCTCCCCTCGAAGGCGAATCTCAAAAATGGCCTGTGACGAGGGTCGATCTGAATATGAAAGTATGCATCTTTCAGATCCATTGAAACAAACCAGTCCCCCGGGCGAACCTGCGCGAGAATCTGTTTGAGTGTTAACATTTTGAAAGGCCGTCTCATGAGAGCCCTGTTCAAACGCCTCAGATCTAGAATGGGTCTGAGCCCGCCGTCTTTCTTTGGTATTAGGAAATAGCGGCTGTAAAACCCCGAATACATTAGCGCGGGAGGGACTGACTCTATCGCTCCTTTTGCTAATAATTCTTGAACTTCGGTGCGAAGCACGTGATTCACGCCGCTTCTCACCGATGTCTCGATAACCGCCTGGAATTTCGGGGGTCTGCGAGCGAATTGGAGCGAGTAGCCTCGCTTTATAGTGTTTATGACCCAACTCGACACACCAGGGATGGCTTGCCAGGCCATCACTCGTGTGGCTAGGGCGTGACACACTGAATGGGGGGGACCGCCTAACATAGGGGGACCTGATACCCTTATAATGTGATTTGTGCACATACTGAGTGTTTGACTGACTATATAGGCTTTTGCCTGGGGGGAAGTCAGTGTTACAACAGGGCGGGGGCCGCCTAGTGGAGGGGGACCGTGAACCCGTGTGTTGTGATTGTGAAACATGCTCTTTTTGTGCTTTATTTGGGTCGCCGTGAAAACGGCGTTTGTTTGCAGAGACGCGCTCACTGCTGCGGGCCTGTTTACAATAATAAAATCCCCAGCCGCCTGAACTGAACAGGGAGCTGTGGGAAGTTTTGCTGGTTTCTTCGAGGGTGGTCCGGCTAGCGCGAGACACGAGCCCTCTCTCTTTCCCCTCCGTGCTAGGACGACTTCGGAGGCGCCTGGTCGGCCGCGGCGCTGGGTCGAGGGCCTTGACGCCTGGGGAGCGGGTAGCGCTTAGCGGGCCTTGACTGGCGCTGGCTATCAGCCGCAGGGCGGGGCTGAGAGGCCTGTTTCGCCGGCTTGGCTGGATGAGGCGAAGGCGGAGGTTTGGGCTTGCTGGACGCGGAGCCCGAACGCTTCGGCAAGAAGTGTCGCATGGCCTGGGACGCTTTCTGTGCCTCCGTGTACCTCTCCGAGAATCCCTTCACCGCCGGGCCGAAGAGACCGGAGCTGGACACCGGACAGGGGTGGGAATCTCTAGGCAACTCACGATTCAATTCGATTACGATTCAGAGGGCTGCGATTCGATGCTAAATCGATTATCTGAATCTTTGTGTGTGTGTGTGTGACTATAAATACTTTGCTTTAAAAGTACAAAGTAATGACTCATA